GTGTGTAACCCTTAAGTGCTCAGACAAACCCACGTTGCTCATTTGGTGATTTTTTTTTAATTGAACAGATTATGTAATTTCACATCTCAATTTTTAAGCAAAGCCTGTTCCAAATAAAAAAAAAATAAAATAAAATACATGTAAAGCATGGGAGTTGTTGTCAAATTTGACACAAAGAAACCGTGGCTTCTTCAGAGTCATTCAAGAAATGAAGCCAAACACAAATCATGGCACAAAGCAAGGGTCTGTAATGTACATAATCACAGATCTATATAGATAAAAAATACAGATAAAAAAAATACAATTAAAGCACAAAATCGTACAGATCCATGTAGATAAAAAAATACAGATAAAAAAAAGATTAGAACCTATGATGTACAAATCTATGTAGATATATGCATATATGTACGGATCTATGTACATATATACATGTACGTATCCAAGTAAAGGGGTTACACATCTTCTTCGTCTTTGGTTGTGAGTCATCTTCGTGTGAGCCTTCTTCGTGTGTCGATCTGTGAGCCTTGTTTTGTCTTTGTCGATCTATGAGTGAAAAAGAGAGAGAGAGTTGCTGAGAGAGTTTCGGAGGATAGAGACGAGGAGAGAGAGTTGTTGCTTACCTTCACAGAAGAGAGAGTGGCTAAGACAAGAGAGGGTTGCAAAGGGACTGATCTGTGCGAAGAAGAAGAGTGACTGAGACAAAAGATCTCATATTTATATTCTCTCATATTAAGTGAGATTTTGTGGCTAAGAGGACACGAAGGTAAGACCTCATTTAAATAAAAAAATGCGTGTTTTCTGTTTCGTGTATTTCTTGGAATAAAAAATTTTTGTTTCAATTTTTTGTATTTGTCTCTAATATAACGAAAACAAAACAAAACTAAAAACAGTACACAAACATATTTTTATTTTCATTTTTGACAAAAATTGAAAATAAAAATACAAAATTCAGGACAAAAATAATTACCGAACATAACCTAAAATTGTGAGGTGAGAGAATGGCCCGGTGTTAAAGGCTCACTTTCAGTTGCCCGTGATTACAGATTTGAACTTCATCTCATTCCTCCTCTCTAAAAAAATATATAAAAAAGTCAAATTGTGCATAACAACAATTGCAACATAAAATTGGCCACTTTTTTGATCTATTTGAGTTAAAAAAAAATAAGAAGTGTTAGTTGGGCCGCCCACCTGTCCGACCTTTCTTCTTGGTCATAGCACTTCAGCTTTCCGTCCTTTGTCTTCATAAAATTTCTCTATTCCTCAAAATCCCCACCAACTAGGCCACGTAGAGAAGCACCAACTTTGCTTTAACCTCCTCCTCTATAATCATCAATCTTAACACGCTGCCACCAACTTATTAATTTTTCAATTGGTGCATATCATTCTTGCACAGAGATCATGAACAATCTACTTTGTATTTTGCCAATTTTACCAGATGTACTCGAACGAGGCCACAAACTTCATGAGAAAGGAAAGTAAGTCACCGGCTTCACGAGAAATAATTCAAGAAGTACCAAATCCAACAAACTCTTTGGGTGGTTAGACAAATATTTCTAAATGCAAACCAATGTTCAAAAAACCATTATGCAGCGTACAAACTATAATTCATAATGAAGAACTATGAGATTGTAATACTTTTTTTATCCATTTTTTTGACAGATTGTCCACCATTAATAAGTGAAGAGTACCATTTGAATTCACAATAATGATCCTCTAAAGATAAAAATTCAGAGAGGAAAGCATCAACTTTGGTGGCGGCCAATTTGCATCAGTTAGTTAAGGAAGTGGAATATGAGGGGTGGGGTGGGGTGGGGTCGGGTTCAATGATAATGAGAGGCAACCAAATATGAGCAGCTAAGAAAACCAAATGATCCTGTGGGTTTCGTAAAATTCAAGTTATATATTAAATGTAATTAATGATTATCCAGAAATCAAAATGACTCTGGACTCTGGATTAAGAATTGTTTATGAAGCAAGTTGGCAAGTTTTTTCAAAGGACCCATAGGTTTTATTTTAAAAGTGTGTGAAAATTACTGATTTATTGAATATTCTAGATCATTCATGTGAACGGCAAATTGAGGGTGGAGACAAGAATATATATATATATATATAATTCTTAATAATAAATAAGCCCCAATCTCAATCACAATAATAATTCACACACTTTCAAATGGATTTAAATCGAATTCATCAAATGTCAAAGCCGGACAACAAACAATTTTTTTTTTTTTTGTTCAACTGTTGGGGTGTCTAATTTATACACACTTCGACTAATTTTTTTTCATAATCTTGTTAAACATAACTCATTCACTTCAAGACTAAAATATTTACGATAAATAAATTTTTTGTTATCTAATTCTAAATAATTGTCAACATTTAAACTAAATACATCTATATTTATAGATCGTTCTTGTTACAACAGAAATAATTATAAATCCGACCTCAACTTTTAAATATTGAACCACAGTCTCCTCAAAAAAAATGTTAAACTGTTAGAAGCCGGAATAAAATATGAATTTATGAAACCTGGGGCATCGGGGTACAATCTTAAAGAATTATACGCAGATTAAGTAGAGCGTAGCTGACTCACCCGGCCGGTGTTATCAAAATCCAATCAAAACAACTCTAATGGGTCCTAATTTCCCTTCCCAGGGAACGCCTTCACCTCATAACCACGCCATTAGCCTTACTACACTACACCCCCCCTAAAAAAACCACACCAGTAAGTCAAATCCACACGGCATCGGTTCAAACATGGCCATCACTCTCCTCCCCAGCTGTCCACACGCTCGAACACCCCATATATAAACACCACCACACACAACCTCTCTTTCAAAACAATCACTAGATACTCGACAACAAACCCACCTCCTTCTGAACTTATCTAAACTCTCGCCGGACTTCCATGCCGGAAATGGCTTCTCTTTACCATTTCACCGTTATTTTTTCACTCTGTTTACTCTTTTCTTCCCTACCCCACCCCACCATGGCCACAACCAGGAAACTATCCGCTCTTGTACAACAACCACCCCTCGTACTCAAGTACCACAACGGTGCTCTACTCAAAGGCAACATCACTGTCAATGTCATCTGGTACGGCAAGTTCACCCCTACACAGCGCTCCAAAATCGTCGACTTCTTGCAATCCCTCAACACCCACCACGCCCCACCACCCTCCGCTGCTTCCTGGTGGCTGACGACGGCGAACTACAAGGGCGGCTCCTCCACCCTATTCGTTGGAAATCAAATCCTGGACGAAAATTACTCTCTTGGAAAATCTCTGACGACCCCACAAATCATTACGTTGGCTTCTAAAGCGAATCAAGTGTTGAACTCAATTAGCGTCGTTTTGACTTCTGCTGATGTGGTCGTCGAAGGCTTTTGCATGAGTCGGTGCGGGACCCACGGGTCGTCGAAGGATAAAAAGGGTAACAAATTTACGTATGCATGGGTCGGTAACTCAGTGAGTCAATGTCCGGGTCAGTGCGCGTGGCCGTTTCACCAGCCTATTTACGGGCCACAAACCCCGCCGTTAGTGCCTCCTAACGGCGACCCCGGAGTCGACGGAATAGTGATTAATTTGGCCACTGTTTTGGCGGGAACCGTGACGAACCCGTTTGATAACGGTTATTTCCAAGGGCCAGCTAGCGCGCCGTTAGAGGCCGTCACGGCTTGTACGGGCATATTCGGATCAGGAGCGTACCCGGGCTACGCCGGTTCGGTTCTGGTGGACAAGACCACGGGAGCTAGCTATAATGCGCATGGAGTGAATGGCCGTCAGTATCTGTTGCCGGCTATGTGGGACCCCCAGACTTCCACATGCAAGACACTCGTCTGACCAAAAAGAAAGCTTAAGGAAAGATGTGTATAAAATTATGTACTTGATTAATAACTGTATAGTTTGTCATGCTCATGAAAATTGTAAGAAAGAGAGATAGTAAAAAATATTACAATTCATTAAATTCTATACAAGCTCTATTTTTTTTTTGTTCAAATTTTTATTTTTTTTTGAGTTTCTTTCTATCCTATCATAATTTTTGAAAAAAATTTGATATTATTTTTTGATAATAATTGTTAATTGATATAGTAGGATTATTTATTTTTTTTTTTTGTATTTAATTTTTATGTTATATCATGTCTTCATGCACAGATTATATCCAATAAATAAATAAATATACAAAAATTCAATTATACCTTTTAGGGGTGTCCATGGGTTAGGCCAAGCTAGACGAATAAAAAATTTTTTGGGCTAGGCTTGGGGGTTGGTAAGCCCACATTTTTACTTGGGTGAATTATCAGCACTGGAAGGGGAGGGGGGAAGACGCGTTCGAGTAGAGATAGGCTATCAGTAACCCAACCCGCACTCATTTGATGACCCTCCTAGGTGAACCTTTATATATATATATTAAAAATTAAATATAGAGTTAAAATGAAAAAAAATAATAATAAATGATTTTATTTAATTAAGAGGAATTGTTTAGCATTTAAGTAAATTAATGAATAATATCCTAAATTACTCAACTTAATATTTTGTGTTCAAAAAAAAATTAATATTTAAGTAAATAATTTTTTTTTTTAGATAAATATGCCACTTAACTTTTAACGGTCAAATTTTTTTTCCAAACAAAATGGGTGGATGGACTGATGGGTAAGTTCTTGGGCCTTGTTTTGGGCCACGTAATGAGCTTGGAGGCAGACTAAAGTTTCCTCTTACGGGATATTGGATTCAAACTGACTAATCATCAAACCTAACAAGTTTCGAGCCTATTTTTTAAGCTGGATAATGGATCTAGTGGGCCAATCGTGACACATGTACACCACTAATGCTTTATGATTCTAACTTTTTATTTTGATCAAATATAGGGGTAGTATGAAATCGCCTCAGGAAAAGGAATAAAAAAGAGAAGAAGATGAAGTGGGTCCATTGAACCGTAGCGGCCTCCAATAAAAAAACCCAAAATTAATTTTGGGTTATTTCAGCGTGTGAAGTCTGCCGATTGTAACATGGTCACTCTAAATTGTGTTCTAGTTTAGGAATTATCTACGGTACTGAATTTAATTTTTGAAATATAATATCTAGGTAGAAACTTACGACTAGACTTGTTAATGGAGCGGATTCGAATCTGAATTTGATTAATCAGATTTGGATTAATTTTATTTTATTTTATCGATAATCTGAATCCGAATTCGAATTCGATATTTTATTTTTCAAAATTTTGAATTTTGATATACTTATATCCAATTTGATTATGATCCAATCCGAATTATTTATATATTTTTATGTAAATATTGAAAAAAAACTATGTGACTATTTAAAGAAATTTAACTCTAATTTAATAAAATTTAGTTAATTAAGTTATTTAATTCGGATTGAATTTTTGAATCGAATTTTGAATTGTTAACATATTGTTTGAATCGTTAACATATACCACGAAAATAAAATTCATCAGATTGTTTGAATTGAACTTTTAAATTAGAACTCAAATCTGTCACAATCTGATCCAAACCCGATGACTAACTGTGTAACCTACATCTACTGAACTCATGTTGGATTAGAATAATTTTAAGTATTGTCGCCATTACAAGATAGAATTGCACAAGTCGGAGAAAGAGTCTGCCATTTTTAAAAAGCAGCAAAAAAAAGTCCAAAAGGGGTCCCCAAATTCATGGACACAAGTCCAACGATTGCGACCTTAGGCAGCTGCTGCCCCTGAATTATTGATCCCACTTTTTCTTGATCAAAGCGTTCGATGTTGCCCAGAATTATTGCATGTGGGAGGAGGTTACACTCGATTTCTTTTTACCATTAATAAGAGAAGAAAAGGATGGTACACAAATTGCTGTTTCAAAAGAACCCTCCTTTGCTCATGTCAGTTAAAGTTAGTACTAAAAGCCAGTCGTTCAAAGTTTAAACTTTTCATTAATTTCAGTCAGAATCAAACAAGGAAACAGCGTAATAAAGACAAAGCAACCCCATCTCACCCTCACATGGGGAATGAGGATCAAGTAGACTTGGCTCAAACATTGGTACGATGAAATCCCTCCAGTTCCCAACCCTCCACACACACATAGAGAGAGTAGATCATAAAGAGAGATATACAAATTCAATCTTAATACAAAATTAAAATTACAGTTGTGAGTACCACGGGAAAATTAACCCCCACTTGCCACACACTTGTCGCTCATCTTATGTTCGAGAAATTTAATGATATACACCAAAAAAATAATAATAAAAAAAATTTATTATATATGCACTTATAATTTAATACGTATTGAACCGTAACAGTTGTATATTGCATCTGATTGTAATCTAATTACACTTATATTACATCTTCCCTAAGTGCATGTACCCTCGTAATTCAATCCACATTCATTAACCTCCCATATTAGGCCATAATTATTAGGCTGTTTAGATTGAGTGAGTATGATAGTCAGTGTATCATAGGACTTTTTCCACAAGTTTACATGATTTAATTAATTGTCATTCCCAAAATCTATTACTTTATCATTATATAAAGTCTTTCTTGTGGACTCGTTCTTTTTACTAGTCTTTACTGTTGTTCCTGTCCCTGTCCCTGTTTGTGTGGTGGGTCCATTACACTCGTGGGCTGGTATGTGGGTTTAGTAATTTTGCTTTCTGCCTCTCTGTCCTTCCTCTTCCCCTTCATCGTTTTCCTATTTCCCCTTCTTTTTTTTTTTTTGGTCTGGCAGATAACTCTGGTGGGTTTTGGCGTTTCTACATGAAAGAGTAGACTCGGACTTCTTCTTGTGGGTATTGGTAGCTTCTATTTCTCTGTTCTTTTCTGATTAACTATGCTTATTCACTTGGTTAAGTTCTTAGATTTACTGGTTGTGAATGCCTCATTCTTTGATCTGATAATTCTTATCTGGGTTTGGATAATTGTTTGCTCTGCTTTTTTCTTGTTTTCTTTGTTCATTACTTTTTTGAAGTTTTTGGGGGCAAATAGTTTATCTACTGATATATAGATTGAATGGGTAATGATTTCCTCCAACTTTTCGCATATGGGTATTCTTGATCTGTAAAGATGGTTTATTTTCTTCTTGAATGTGTCAAATACGATATCTCCCCTGTTTTAACAGTCCAGATTGCTGTTTCCAACTGAAGAAAAAAAAAACCTCTTTTTATCCGAAAGATACTGTTTCTTTATTCTGTCATAAAGTTCTAATCTTTGATGATTATTTCCCCAAATGCCCCAAAAATTTCTTCTAATTCCTCCTTAAAAGCCTAATAGCTATGATAAAAACATGATGATTTTGGTTTTCTGGAGAGGAAAGGTGTAGATTTTGAGTACTCTGCTGTCTCTTTTGTTTCCCATATCTTTTATATAGTGTGGTCCTCCATTGGTGTGGACGATACTTCATTTTTAGGCGCCTATTTATGTAGTTGATTCTTGGGATTCCACTTTATTCATTAATTTTGTTGTATCTCTTAATCTCGTTTACAATGTTGATCCTCATCTTCCTGTCTGGGTTAAAAAGAAATTATTATTCCCGGTTTCATCAATAAATAGATGTACATCAATATAGTTAAATTTTATGTCTTGTGTGCCTTGATTTATTAATTTCTCGATTAGTCCTGAAAATATGTGTATAAAGAGGGGCTTCTCCCTTTAGGTTCTTGTTTATGGGTTCTTGATTTCTACCTTTTAATGATAAATTATTTACTGTGGAACTGTCCTTACTCTTTCCATATTTATATGTGAAGGAAGCTTTAGATGGAAGGGTCTGATCTTCGTCAGTGGGATGAACTCATACCCGATGCACTCGGGCTTATCTTCAACAATCTATCTTTCCAGGAGGTACTAACAGTGGTTCCTAGAGTGTGCAAATCATGGGGCAAAGCAGTGGCGGGCCCTTATTGCTGGCAAGAGATTGACATTGAGGAATGGAGTAATCATTCTGAGCCTGAAAATATTCATCAAATGCTTCGAATGCTAATTATGAGGAGTGCTGGTTCTCTCCGCAAGCTCTGTGTTTCTGGCCTACTGGATGACAATGTTTTCTCCTTCATTGCTGAGAAGTAAGCAGAATTGCAGAATCTCCTGATTACCCTTTCGTTTATTACCATATATCGGTGTTACAAGGTGACATGCATGTAGTTAGATAGCTCAGTTACAATTTACTTGTAGTCACTCTTCCAATGTTGGAACACTTCAGTATTTTTAAAACACTTCACTGGTCCTGAAAGTAATCCGATGATGACAACACACATTGTTTAAATGCTTAATTCATATGCTTAGACAATTCTTTAGTTCATAGAGCTTACCGGATTAAGAATATTCCATCATTCCATTTATATTGTTTGATTCAGTTCACCTCAAAATCAATGTTCACATAGTTACTGACAAAAAATAAATAAATCAATGTTTGAAACAGAATCAGGATTGACCTTTCTCTCAAATTGGTCATCATTTTCTAACTTTGTCCGGATAAATGCAGCATGGGTAACTTTTGTTTGGTTTTGATTAGTGCTCACTCTCTGCATACATTGAAACTGCCAAGAAGCGGCATCGGTAATTCCGTTGTTGAGCAGGTTGCTGGGAAGCTTTGTACAATCACATTCTTGGATTTGAGCTATTGTGGTAAAATTGGTGCTCGTGGTTTAGAGGCTATCGGAAAGAACTGTAAATCTCTTGCAGGATTGCGTCGGAACATGCACCCATTAGATTTGGATGGTAAGATTTCACAGAATGACGAGGCTCTTGCCATTGCGGCCACCATGCCCAAGCTAAAGCACCTTGAGATGGCTTACCTTCTTATCGACACCACTAGTGCTCTAGAAATTATCTGCAACTGCCCTGAGCTCGAATTTTTGGATTTGAGAGGATGTTGGGATGTGAAGCTTGATGACAAGTACCTCAAGGAGAAGTTCCACAAGTTGAAGGTTTTGGGGCCTCATGTTCTGGACCATTACGAGAGGCGTGATTGGGAAGATTGCTCGGATTATTCGGACTCTTTCTATGACTATGAGAGCTTGGATGGAATATGGGATGATGATGAGAGGATGGAGGGTCTAGAGCTGAGGTTTTACCAAGAATTTGACGATGATTCTGGTTTTGGATGGCCTCCATCTCCATAAGACTTTGTAAGATTGTCTTCAACCTTTATAATTATTAGAACTTACATGTTGCTTGCACTTATGGAACTTCTATAAGTATGTGTTATAGTGGGAATGAAGTTGTGTTATTTCCCATCCACTCTTCTTTTGCAGTAAAGGGTAAACTATATCTCTGGTTTACCCAGTGTAGAGCTTCTGTTGTATAGCAAAAGTGCTGTTCCGCAAAATGATGCCATTTCCAACCAAAACGACGTTGTTTTATTTAATAAAATGATGTCAATTTTGTGTGAAACGGCATCATTTTGAGGAATATTCCCTTCTTGTTTCTCAACTAACAGCAGAGTATCCGGACCCGTAGTTTACCAAGGGAGAATATATATGCTGAGATTCATATCAGCAGGCAAGCCTATCGATATCCAGAGAGAAATGGTTTATACGAGTGAATGCTGCTGGTGATATTCCAACATATTTCTAAAACTTATATGCATCTTTATGGTAATACACATACATAGGGCAGCCCATTGCAGGGTTTGGCGAGACTTAGATGTAGTCAGCTTTTCCCTCGTATGTGGAGAGACTACTTTTGCAAATTTATTTGTGAGGTTTAATGATTTTTTTTCTTAAAATTATATAAATTAATTGTGATGTATAGGGACGGTGGCAAGGATCAAAATTTAAAAATTATATAAAAAATTGTATATAAAAATATTATTAATAAATGAGTCTAATAAGTATTTAAAAATTAAATAGTATTAATAAAATAGTCCAAAAGAATTTGAAGGTTTGTAAGCACAAGGATTGGCATACACCATTGGAAATAATTTCATAATTATATTCATTTCACTGAAAGCAATGTGGAAAAATCATTCACACTGGAATTAAGGTATTCATGAGAGATATATCTCCTGTGGCCTGATCTTAATGAGTTGTCAAGATTTAAACTTAAAACATTTAAATTTATAACTCGTCTCTGTTATCCCTTCACTTAATTCTTTCTTTCTTTTCATTGAGAATGGTGATATTATTTCATCCCAACGTTCTTAAACCAAATCCAAAGTCAAGTAAAGAAGACTTGACGAAGACCTGAGGACTTTTATGATACAATGAACTTTCAAGGTGAATAAAGTGCAGTTTTCAATTTAAAATCACTTTTTAGAGCATAAATTTGCTTAAAGTCCATCTCATAAAGTCTATTTTTTAGGTGAACTTTTATTTCAAAAAATTTTGCCAAACGGTATAAAAAAATCTAACGAGATAATGCAAACTTGTAATCTACACTAGCCTAAAAACTTTTAAGATTTTAAGTAATGGGCAATGCATAATACACAGGCAATTCTACGATATAGGATTTCCACACACATGATGCCTCTCTTCGCAGGTAGCATGTGGTTGCATGGAGATAGTTTACACATAGATGGGCTTAATGCTCCAAAGAAATTTTGGGCAATTTTCTTTGTTTAATTGGTCCGTTGACGACGGCCAAAGTACCCAAGGGGGGTATTGTACTAAAAATTTGCAACTTTTCGAAGTCAACTAGCCCCTAAGTTATAAATTGTTTGTGTCAATCAAGTATCTGAACTACGTTTTGTATCAATTTAACTCATGATCTATAACATTTGTATTAATATGACCCTTTTGTCCAAATTCATTGTTAAGTTTGACAAAATTTTTCACATGCACAACACGTGACCTCTAAACTATACTTTAATCTCCGACTCAAATAATGTGCACTAAAGGAATTCCGTCCAAATTTATGGTGAATTTGGACGAAAGGGTCACATTGACATAAATGATATAATTCACGTGTTAAATTGATACAAAATATAATTTAGAGATTTGATTGACACAAATAAAATATTTTAAGAGTCAAATAGATAGTTAATTCTAAAATCAAGTTATACTTCTTTTTTTTTTTTTATGGTGCAACTCACAATTAAAAGAGTTGTGATCGATGATAAAATATTATAATTAATAATGAAAATTTTTACTTTTAAAAGTGAAATTAAACCTTCGAACTAATCGATCATGAATAGTTATAATTTATCATTTGTAAAATATGAAATAACCTTTAACCATGGTACTTATTGCTAAAATACCAAAATAATTTCTTTGATGTCGTACTCGTTTATTGTTTTTCTATTTTTTGTCTAATAAAAATATAACACGTGTGAATTTCTTTCTATTTTATTATTTATATTGTTAAAATGAATTGATGATTACAGCTTAATCGAACCAAATTCAATGGATATGAATCAATTTTAGGCACAGTAGCCATCTCCTGATTCTCCTTGCAGGACTGGTACTCTGGTAGGTTGGTTGGTGGATACCTCCACGTCGTCCGAAATCACATGATTCATGTGAGTTCTGACATTGGACGGTATGAAATAAGAGTATTGAAATGAACCAAAAGCTTTCGACTCCAAAGACTCTTGAATTGTGTGTTTTTGTCCATTTAATTGAAGACTGCATGTGTACTCCTCGAATTAGGAGAGAGAAAAAAGAATGAACAATAAATTTTTAAAATTTGATAATTTTTTTTGAGATCCAATTATAAAAGATTTTATCTCTCGTTAATTCTTTAATTTTAGCGTGAATAATATGTCTTTGATCAAACTAGAGTAAAGATGATTAGTTGAAATACACAAAAATAAATTCGGGCATCTCGAGAATACTGACAATATCCCCTCAAAATGTAACACATGCCCAACAAAGTGGGGAAAAGCAAAGAAAAGCCCAATATCATACTAAGAACTCAATTTTCTATATACTAGGTTCTCAATTTTCTATGTTATATTACCCCTAGGATATGTATGATTGGGTCCAATAAAAGGATTGTTCATGGGGACTAGAGAAAGGGTTGCCATTAGGAATCCTAGGAGGAGTCGTCTTTATCTGGGCAAGGTTTAATGAAAGTTTTGTTTTGTTTGTGAAGACAATGGTGTAGCCACCTACCACCTACCACCTACCACTTGGGTTGTCTCTATAATGGATTATTTTAAGGAATTTTAGTTAGGAGTGTAATTCGGGTGTATTTGCCAAACAGAAAAGTTCATTTGGGGAATTCAACTCAAAATAAAATACTTTGAACTTGAGTTGAATTTAAACTGGAATTTAACTCGTGGCCTTCAACTTAAGAATTTTTACTATTGGGTTGGATTCAAGTTATGTAATTCGAGTTTGGTTCTTGAATTAAACAACTCAAGCTAAATTTAGATACAATTCATAATTAATTCAAGGTGAAACCAAATTTGACTCTTGTTTTGTTTAACTCATCAATTTTAATTTAGATTCAACTTGACTCAAGTAATTCAGGTGGGATTTGGATTAGATTCCCATAACCAGAGACCCCAACCTGAGTATTGACATCATAGCTATTGTTTTTGAAAGGTTGTTCCAATTAAGAAGTGTTAATTTCTCTCAATAATATTTTTTTTTTTGGAAAAAACACTAGAAAAATGAATCCCAGGAATAATGAAAATTGGGAAATATTTACGATCCCAAATCAACAGAGATCCTTGAATGGTTGGGTTCTGTAGAAAAAAGAGATCGAAGCCATTGACCCACGAGTCATTATCGATTCGATATCTTGAATTCGACATTCTTGTCATTTTTCGTGGTTCAATTAAAACAGACGGTTTTTCTGTGTCTAGATAAACTCTTCGATACGACTTTCAACTTATATATCCTTGCATTACAAATAATGGAGTAGACGTGTGTGGTCGGAGTTCCGCTAGGTACAGTAGGACCACACAATGCTGTTCCCACTAGTGGGGTTCATTGGAAAGCAGTGGTTCAATTGTCGTGGCCCCCATGATGAATAGGTCACATAATGCTACAGATACAAGCTCTTTATTGATAATTGAGATTTCTTGGATACACTTCACTTCACTTCAACTTTATTCGATAAATAAATTAAACATTGTGAATGGATGGAGTCCGATTTAAATTTGAAAATATCTTAGTTGGGTTGTTTACAACTAGTTTTACTCACTTTCTTTAAACAACGGAATAAACCCTTGACTTACCTTTTAAATTCATGGTTACCAGATAAATTTTAGATTGGTGCAATCATTCACAAATGAAAATGAATCAAGTAAACAATAGAGTTGAAATTAGCATTGTTTGATTTCCTTAGCATAACAACTTCTTCTTTGTTTGGTATTGATAATGTGTAAACTCGAAAGGTGAGGGGGTAATATTTAAACTAAAGAGTTCCAGGCTTAGAAATAATAGAGGGTGAGTGAATCAATGAAGATGGAGCCTGGTGGCTCTATGATATGCAACAGTAATCTATAAACAGGGGTAAGAGTTGGGAAACGAGTGAGAATACAGATTATAGTGGTTCACCAGTTGAAGAGTTGACTAATTCACTTTAATGAAGTCTCTTGCTCCTTCAAAAACTCTTTATTGTTTGGAGGAGATGATAGGTTTACAATTTTTCCAACCCCTTTACATGGTTGAATGCCCTAGTATTTTATACTCCCAAGTGGAGTGGTCCTAACATCATCATCACATGGTCTCTCAGTTTGTTAGGATTTTGTTGAAGGAATATTGGACTGTTAAAAACTACAATTTTTAGGTATAATGTGATATTCTAAAAAATATTAAGGTGGCGTTGTGACCTGTTTTCAAGTTTGGATATTGTGCGTGCAAGATCCTGCACAATATAAAAACGAGAACAGATCTCTCCCTTGGTGAACTCGAGTGAGCCAGTCGAGTGACCAACCACGCTGCTTGGAACAGCCTGCGAGGTCCGGTGGTAACCTGGAACGGCGACGGGAGACCCTGGGGGAGCGGAAGAACGATCTAGTAAGGCTGAAAGAGGTTCCTGGAACAAAGAAGAACAAGTTAGAAGGGCGCCGGAGTGTTTTTCGGCGTATCCCCTCCGACGATCTAGTCAGTCAATGAGAAAGAGAGAGGAAAGAGAAAACACTGAGTGTGTATTGTAGTAAAGAGTTTTTTGTTGCATCCCCATCTTGCCTTTTGCAAGGAGTATTTATACCTCAAAAGCTCATGATTGCTGTCAGTGTAGTCAGTAGGTGATCATTAGGTACAGGCAGTGTGCGCACTGATTCTGATGAGGAATGTCTTCTCTTCTTAACTGCTCGGGGTCCCGAGCAATCAATGTTGTGTCATCGGGATGCCGACGGTACAATTACTCCTCTCGGGGAGGATGCAATAAATGCTCTGTATTAGGAGCATTT